GTGCAGTGACTTATTGTGCCTCCTGTGTCACATACAGATCAAGTGTGTGGTTGAAGTGCTGTAGCTGTTTCCATAGTGAAGGTTACCACATGGATACCTAATGGTCCAGTGCTGGGTGGCCCAAGGAAACTGGGAATTCAGCAGGGTCTTTAGCCATGGCCCATGAAGCTGTGCAAAAGGGACTATTTACAAGGACCTGAGAAGGGTATAGGGAGCCCACAAGGACAGTGCAGTACCCTTGCGCAGGTAACTGTAGGGGCTCAAAAGGCATCCTAGAAAGAGTCACATAGAGAGAGCTCTTTGAGACCTACCTAGTCCAAAACTAGCCTGAAGTAAGCCCTCAGGAAGAACCTAGGAGAATCAGCACATCAACCTCTTTTCCTCTGCTCTTCCAGATCTCCCCATTGGCCAAGCATTCCTGAAGGCCACAGTGCTAGGGAACTCAAAGATGCCATCCATATAGTTTAGATCTCTGGCAGAAAAGTCAGGAAAGGGATGGAGATTGGACCCAGAGGAGCAAAAAGATGTGTGATGTGCAAGAAAGGGTTGTGGTTTTAAATAGGGAGTCTTCACAGAGGAATTGGTCAAGCAAAGATATGAAGGGGTGTAGTAACTCATCTGCTTTAGTCTGAATGTATCCCCCCCCCAATTCTTATGTTGGAAACTTAATCTCTAGGGCAACAATCTTGGAAGGTGAGGCCTTTCAGGAAGTGTCAAGGTCATGAATCCACTCTCATGAATAGATTAATGCCATCACCAAAGGTCTTGGAGAAGGTAGTTCATTCCCTTTTCGCCCTTCTGCCTTCTTCCATGTGAAACCATAGCATCCTTCCCTTCTGGAGAATGGAAAGTTCAAGATACCATCTTGGAAGTGAAGACCATACTTGTAGGTACCTTGAACTTGATGTTGCCAGCCTCTAGGACTGTGAGAAATGAATTTTTGGCCAGGCATGGTGTTATGGTTTGTGCATAGTTTTCCCCCGGAAAGCCTCATGTAAATCATAGAGTGGATTTCTAGAGTTTGTGACTAACTCATGATCCATTGGGATTAGTGGTTTGAGGGCTGCTGGGATTATGGGTGTAAGTGCTACATTCAGCTTGGGGCAGATAGCCTGAATGCAACTTAAGGAAGACGGACTTGTTCTCTGTAGCCATTGTTGCTACTACACCTCCCTTGCTCTCTTGTTCTTTACCACAGCCATGAAAGGTTGCTCTCTGCCATGTGCCACTCTGCTTTGGAGCCAGCTGAGTATGGAATGAAACCTCCAGTAACTGTGAGCTAAATAAACCTTTCCTTCCTTCATTTTGGGTGTCAGGTATTTGTCCCAGTAATGAGAGAAGAGTAATTGAGACAGATGGTGATGAATGCCTGCAATCCCAGTATTCTAGGAGCCGAGGCAGAAGGATTGCAAGTTTGAGATCAACCTGGGCAACTTAGCAACTTAGAAATCCTTTCTCAAAATAAAACAAAAATTTAAAGGGGTTGGGAATATATCTTAGAGTGAAGGCCCTGGGTTCAATTCCCAGTACTAGAAAAACAAAACAGAACAAATGAATTTATGTTCCTTATGAATTCTTAAGCATTTGTTCATAGTGGTGTAGACTAAGTCAGGAAGTGGTGGCAGAGGAGTGGCCATTGAATAACTTAACACCTCAAAATATGGAAGCAGCTTTGGAACTGAATAATGGGTAGAGGCTGGGAGAATTTTGAAGCACACACTAAAAAAGCCCATATTACCACACCTGTAGACTCAGGGACAATGCTGGTGAGAAGCATAGGAAGAGAAAGCAGGAGGGAAACTCTAGTCTTCCACAAGATGGCTTGAATAGCCATGACAGCAAAGATCATTCTAGTGTGGTCTGGGATGGGAACGTGGAGAGAAGAGGCAAAGTGCTTGTCATGAACTACTAGAGCATTTGGCAGGAAACAGCTCTGAGCTCCAAAGCACTCAGAATGCTGTATGGTCTCTCTTCAGTAATTGTAGCAAAATGTGAAAAGACCAAAAAGATTTTTTTAAAAAGAAAATGACATGCAATTAAAAGAAAAAAATATTCTATGAAGACTTGGAAAATTCTTAGCCTGAGTAAAAAATGAAAAAGTGTATTTAGAAGAGAAAACAGCTGGGGAGATAGCTCAGGAGCATAACTGCCTGGTAAGCACAAGGTCCTGAGTTTGATCTCCAGTACCAAAAAAAGAGAAAACAACGTGGCCAAGCAACTGTTGAATAGAGGGTGATAGAGTAGACAGAGGGAAGACAAATGCTTTATAAATTTTCTGACAGCAAGTTTTTTTTTTCTTTTTTTAATGGTAGCACAGACTAAGACACCATCTGTGATAGATAAACTTCATTTTATCGACCTGGTTGGCTTAGGAGCCACCGTGGACATCAGTAAAGCACATTTCTCGGTATGCCTGGGAAGGTCATTGAAGTGTGACCTTGAGTACCATAGATGGTCCCTGGACCTTCTTCTCAGGCTTTGTTTTTTTCTCTCTGCTCTGCTCCCTGGCTGCCATAAATGAAGTACCTTTGCCGTGCCATCCCTGTCCTCCACAACACTTCTGCCTTAAGGCCACCTAGCCGTGGACTGTCTCCTAAAGCTGTGAGTCAAATTAAACCTCTCCTTTAAACTGTGGGTGCAGGGGCCCGGGAGATGGCTCAGTAGAAGAAGTGCTTCCCTGGCAAGCGCAAGGGCCTGAGTTCAATTCCCAGTTCCGCCCAAAAATAAAAATAAATAAATAAGTTGTGGGTGCCAGATATTTTATCTCAGAGCTGAGAAAGCTACTACACCATTTTCTAATCCTAACAAAAACTTTATAAGATATGTAGATCATTTCACAGCGGCAGAGACCAAGTCACAATAAGAACAAACTTTAGAGTTGCCTAATGTCACACAGTGGAGATTTGGTAGAGTTGGGATTTGAATCCAGGATGTTTAGGCACACTGATCTTGCTCTTAAACAAAATAGGATATAGGCAAATCACTCAAAACTGAGGGGGCAAAAAAGAGTCAAGACACCTAAAACTGTGACAGTCAAATATAGATGTCACTTATTGAGCATTGATTGTATACTAACCACTGTGTTAAAGAGTACGGGGAGGAGAGAGATGAACAGAAAAATACGTTTGTTGTCAAAGAGAACAGGGAAGAAATATAGGAATGTGTACAAATCAAGTCTCAACAGACTGGGACATCTACATAGAACTATAGAAAAAATGTTCACAACACTGAGGAGGGAGGTTCGTACATCTGACTTGCAGGGGAGCTTTCTGAAAGCAGTGGCTTTGGAAGAACTGGTGAGTTATATCAACAGAATTGCGAAAATAAAGGATTCCAGGAAAGAAACCATATGAGCGAAGACATGAATGCCTTTTTGAAGACAGCCGGTCATCTGGTTAGAAGGCCTGAGATGTGTGCTGAGAGAGATTTTAGGTGGGACACCAGCGTCACCATAGGTGATGATTTTTTTCCCCTATAGAGAAATCCCAGCTTGGTCCAGCCCGTCTCAAGATCTCACCCTCACTATCTCGGCTAGGGGGTGGGAGTATGGTGGATTGAACGCAAGGCCTTTGCACTGAGCTACATTCCCAGGTCTTTTTATTTTTATTTTTTGAGACGTCTTGCTAAGCTGTCCAGGCTGAGTTTTAACTTGCTGTCCTTTTGCCTCAGCCTCCCAGAATGCTTGGATTATGGGCCTATGTCATGATGCCAGCTAAATCCACTTTTTAACTCCAAATACAGGGAACTCTGAACCTTCAGTGAGCAGCCAAGCTCTGCTTGGAACCTTGGTTTTGCTTCCATTGTCTTTATTTTTACAGTTATGCCCTACTTAAGCCAATGATAGCTTAAGGCACCTGAAGGGAGTAGTGAAGGGGAAGAAAGGCTGACAAGGAGCCTGGGCAGCATGGGAAGGAGGATGGGTTTTATGCTGTGGACCATGGGCATGGGACATTGAGGAATAGGCAAGGAGTGTGGTCAAGGGGGCCCTTGGCAAGGCTCACTCGGGCCTGCAGGAGGGAGTGCCAGCTGGACAGTGCTGGGGAGACTCACTGGGATCTGGCATAGCCACAGAGAGGTGCTCTGCTGAAAGGGGAGGTGTGCTTCAGAGCCCCATGGGGTTTTCACCTGCTTCCTGCTGACAGCTTTGTTCCCCAGAGATGACCCTGCAGCCTCTCATCCTCCTGACCCCACGATGCCTCTCCCATGTGGCTCACCAAGAACATTCAACAGCTTCCTACTGAGACTCATGGGAGAGTGGGAGACTATGGCTGGATATGGTTTGTTCCTTACAAAAGATCGTGTGCTGGAGAGTTGGCGCTGAGAGATGGTGGAACTTTAAGTGGTGCCTCCTCCTGGGAGACCGTTAGGTCACTGGGAAAACCACTCCAGGAATAAAGTAATGCTCATCTCAGGGGAGTGAGTGAGCTCTCTGTTAGTTCTCTCACCGTGCATTCTCTCTCTCTCTCTCTCTCTCTCTCTCTCTCTCTCTCTCTCTCTCTCTCTTCTGTCTCTGTCTCTCTCTCTGTCTG